CCCTGCTGGGAATTTGCTGCCACCTCTCCCCCAACTTTGAGGAGGGGGGCAGGGAAAATTCCAGAATGTAACAGGTCAGGGATGTTGGCAGAAGGGGTCTGTGAAGGCAACAAGTATCAAAACAGTTTGGAGGATTGGGTCTGTGGTTAGAAAAGAGAAGAAAGAGAGAGCAGGCCCCTCCAGCCACAGTCGTGTCTGCCCCTCACAGTCCACCCCTTGCCCTACACCTGCAGTGCCTGCTGGGTGTTAAGGGCCCAGGTCTGTTCCAAACAGACACAGGGAGCTTCCTGTGAGAACATCTTTTTATCTTTGATCAGGTGGTGATAGATAGAGAAAATGGCTCAAAGAAGCAAGGTAAGTAGCCCAGGGTCACCCAGAGAATTAATATCATAACTGAGGATAACATCCAGGCCTTCTATTTACTAGATGAAATAGCGCCAGGGGATGTGCTGCAAGAGACGGGAAGATGGAATTTGAAATCATTTCTTATTTTTCTGCAAATGTAGTTGGTGTTGGTTTCCCCCCCCCCTTCTCTCCCCTGGAGATAATGTAGCTGTCACTGTCTTTTTTCCCCACCTTCCACCACCTGAGACCTTGTGTTTCCCCTGGATTTTGACCCCCTCCTCCAGGGCAGTTTCCCAGAGTAAAATGCAGGGACAGGCTGCAGAGAAGCACCAGGGGTGAGCCGGGCATGAGTATCAAGTTCACTCTGGGACCACGCAGAAGGACAGAAGTACACCCAGGAGATGACATTCCACCAGCTCCCTCCCGGTGACCTGTTGATACCCACTACTAACTCTTCCCTGTATCAGGAGCAGATCAGGACTCAGGATGCAGCAAGGTGGGGGAGGCAGGGACAGAATATGACAGCAGGAAGTCAAAATTCAAATCCCAGCTCTGTCTGAACTGGGGCCCTGGAGCAAACTGCTTTACCTCTTGGAGCCTCAATTTTGAGTTCCTGGGTGGTACAAAGGAGCCCTGGTGGCACAGTGGTTAAGAGCTCAGCTGCTAATCCAAAGGTCAGCAGTTCAAATCCATCAGCCACTGCTTGGAAACCCTATGGGGCAGGTCTACACTGTCCTATAGGGTCCCTATGAGTCGGAGTCGACTGGACGGCAATGGGTTTTTGGGTGAGACGAATGATTAATGAGCTCAGCTGCTAATCAAAAGGTTCGAGTCCACCCAGAGATGCCTTTGAAGAAAGGCCTGGTGATCTACTTCTGAAAACTCAGCCATTGAAAACCCTGTGCAGCACGGTTCTACTCTGACACGCATGGGGTCGCCATGAGTCAGAGTCAACTCGGCGGCAACAGATTAAAATGAGGCTGCACTTTAAAGGTTATTATGAAGGTCAAATGCAACCAATGAGCCTGAAGTGCCCCTGATCCAGTAGGCATAAAGTAGATGACCATCCCAGCATTACCATGATCGCACACAATTTAAACTAGAAGGGTTTTTAGGGCAATTTATGTGAGAACTTTCAAGAGCTATGAAATCAATTGGAGGGTATTAATTGTAGAAATAAAGTAACAGAAGAAAATTACCTCTAAAGAATTAGAACACAGCAATTAGCAAGGAAGAAAATGCTCTAGAGGCGGAGTTAGACACACGCAAATGGCTGTAGCCTTGAGACGGAGGAATGTGCAGCTGATCCATCAAGGGCCAGAGCTGGCAGGGTCTTCTAGAACGGAGTGAGGACAGCATTGGTGTGAGACTGTTGGGGTTACCGTGCAGGTGGAAAGGCGAGAAACTGAGACCAACAAGCAAATGGAAATGTGGATCACATAGTCAAGACCAGGTTTCCAAGCAGGGAGACCAATGGGAGATGAGTGATGATGGAGGATGCAGCAGGACCAGGCAGCGAGCGTTTCATTCCACTGGGGCACATCGCTGAAGAAGATTGGAGGCAATGAACTCTAAGACCCAAGTCTAGAAAGTTAAGTGCTCTGGTGAGTCCCTCAGTGGTGCAAACGGTTAAGCGCTCAGGTGCTAACTGAAAGTTTGAAGGTTCGAGTCCACCCAGAGGCACCTTGAGAGAAAGACCTGAAGATCTACCACCGAAAAATTAGCCACTGAAAACCCTATAGAGAACAGTTCTAGTCTGATACACATGGGTCTTCATGAGTCAGGGTCAACTTGACAGCAACCGATTTGGTTTCAAGTGCTCTGGAATATCAGGGTGGGGGGCCTTGGGGAATCAGTGGAGGGTGGACCAGGAAGGGTTGGAAAGAACTTGAAATAAAATAAAACTAGGCTAGAATCAGAGCCCAGGTGGTGTAGTGGTTAAGAGCTTGGCTGCTAACCAGAAGGTTGGCAGTTCCGGCAGTTCGCTCCTTGGAAACTCTACAGGGCAGTTCTACTCTGTGAGTCAGAATTGACTCAACAGCAACAAGGAGGAGGCTGGAATCCCGGGCCTACCCCTCTCAGGGATGTGGCCTTGGGACTCCTCAAGCTCAGTTTCTCATATGTCAAATCGGAAGAAGAATTTCTACCTGCAGAGTCTATTGAGAGGGGTTGTTGTTGTTAGATGCCATCGAGTCAGTCCCCTGACTCATGGCAATCCCGTGAACAATGGAATGAAACGCTGCCTGGTCCCGCACCATCCCCATGATTGGTTGCGAATCAGACTGCTGTGATCCATAGGGTTTTCACTGGCTGGTTTTCAGAAGTAGATCACCAGGCCTTTCTACCTAGTCTGGAAGGTCTGCTGAAACCTGTTCCGCATCATAGCAACACACAAGCTTCCACTGGATAAACTGGATAAAGCATGTGAGCGTGGGGCTGAGCTATCTTTATGACGCATTTTGCTTGCCTCCTAGTAGGTTGGGCTGACACTGGGCCCTTGCCTTCTGCATGGCTTGGATAGAATTAACCCCGCTTGGCCCCTGGAGTGGGCCAAGACAAAATCAGCGTATTCCCTCCTTCTGGCCACAGTGATTGGTTTAGGGGATGGGCATATGACCTAAGCCAGACCAATCGGAATGCACCTCAGGACTTCTGTAGGGAATGTCCCGCCACAGATTTGCTAACCCCCAATCCTCATGTTAAACAGGAAGCATGTGATTTTAGGAACTACCAGTTGTTATCACAAGACGTCCTGGATCTAGCCATACCTGAAGCTAAACTGCCATATGAGTTAATGTAGTCCCTTGCGAAGCCAGCATGGGTCCTGGTTTATCCTCAGCCACTACTTAAAGTTTCTCCAAATCACCAGATCACCAAATCATCAGCTCATTTGAAACTGGGATTTTCTTCTCAGAAGTGACTCTGCCTGTTCCAGGGTGAATTCTCCCCTCTAGCATGCTCCATCCTTCCAGTAGCAGCAAGTACCAGGTCGTCACATGTGGCCACTACTGCCTGGTGCAGCCCCTCCTCCTACTCGGGAGCTCTGAGAACTCACCTTGCTATTAAGCATCGCCAGGAGCCAGCCTCCTCGCAGCTCTGGGCCCCTGTGCAGACAGGCTCAGAGCTGCATTAAATAAAGACTGCAGCCCTGAAACTGTTCAAATGGATCTACATCAATGAGGACAGCAAGGGATGCCTTTAAATAGATGATACCAAGAGCCAGCCGGGGCAGGCGAGGTTTGCCTCCAGCGTTATTCTCCCCCCTGTTCTGTGCCCTTCCTCCATCTACTTTTAGCATGCCTCATCCCAAACCCTGTCATAAATTAATTCACACATTAGCGGCTTAATATGTTAGTCCTCTAGTTGTGATCTGCTTCAGTGAAGATTACAGCAAAGAAAACTCTATGGTGCAGTCTACTCTGTCACATGGGGTCGCTATGAGTCGAAATTGAAGGCACCTAACACCAACAACTAGTTTTAAAAGAGGAACAGAACATGGGAGTGGGCAATGTTTACCCTAAGGGGTAGACTCATTCACGGTGGAATTATAGGCATTACTGACCAAACCATGAAATACGCATTTGAGGAGAGGGAAGCTTTTCTAATCCCCCTCGCCATGCCACTCAGCCCCCACAAAACCAAAAAAACCAAATCCGTTGCCATCCAGTCGGTTCCAACTCATAGTCAACCCTATAGGACAGAGTAGAACTGCCGCGTAGAGCTTCCAAGGAGCAGCTGGTGGATTCGAATGGCTGACCTTTTGGTTAGCAGCTGAGCTCTTAACTACTGTGCCACGAGGGCTCCAATAATTTATTTCACCAACCACCACACTACATCCTTTCTTTTCTCCCCAGAGGCGGGCCCTCAAAGTCCATTCCATGGAGAGAGTCCAGTCCAGGTTTGTTCTTTCCCTCCTCAGGGAGGGAAGGAGGGAGCACTGCTTCTGGGCAAGGTGCACCTGGGACTGGGATTTCCTGCTTTGCCTGGGTGAAAAGGAGCTATCCTTGGCCGCAGGACCTTGAAGGGAAGCTCCATGGACTGGTGGGTGATGAACCAAACCAACCCTGGGAAATCAGGGCTACCATGGCGATGTTGCTGCAGACCTCCCCGCATGGCTAGGCAGGGCCCCAGAGCTCTCCAGTTCAGGGGAGCCAGACTCCCCAGCCCAACACCTACGCATAGCTACGTTTACAAGTCCTAAGGACCCTGGGTACACTACCTTTTTTCCTAGTTTGTGAAGTAGGTACTATTATTATCTCCATTTTACAGATGGAGAAATTGAAGGCCAGGGAAGTGCAGCAGTCGGCCCAAGGACCCAACGCCTTGACTCCCACTTTACACAGCCTCCTTGTATTTCTATGCTGCTTCTACAGACTATTGTTTGTTGTTGTTGTTAGCTGCCATCCAGTCGGCCCCCAGCTCATGGCAACCCCACGCACTGTGGGATGAAACGCTGCCCATCCTGCGCCATTCCCACGATTGACTGCAGATCTGACTATTGTGATCCATAGGGTTCTCACTGGCTGATTTTTGGACGTAGATCACCAGGCCTTTCTTCTTAGTCTGTCTTAGTCTGAAAGCTCCTCTGAAACCTCTTCAGCGTTATAGCAACACACACGCCTCCGCTGACAGACGGGTGGAGGCTGTACACGAGATGTAATGGCCAGGAATCAAACCTGGGCCTCCTGTATAGAAGACAAGAATTCTACCACTGAACCAGCACTGCCCCTCAACTTCTGTGCTCATGTGCAGAATGGAAAGTCTCCAGCAACAAGCAAACCTGAGATATATCCTTTCTGCCTGGCCTGGCTGTGGCTTTGGACACTCAGCCAATGAAGCACCTGACCCTACAGGGCTGCAGGGGGACATGAAGTGCTCCCTTTACCCCCACACATGGGCCGCCAGGAGCTGGTCACAGGCACATCCCCAGGCATGTGCAGACCCTGGCACCCACTTGATGTGTGGGCCGCCACGTGGCTCCAAGAGAGCCAGGAGGAGAGAGCCGCCATCCAACAGTGAGGACAGGCAGATGGAGCAAGTGACTCAGCACGGAGGCCAGATGTGGCCAGATGAGAAGAATAAACATGGGGGCCAGAGGCCAAGCCACAGCCCCTTCAGAGCCTGGTGGGGATGTGGGGCTGGGTAGTCGTAGGCAGGTGGGATGGGGACGAGAGATGGATGGCCCCATCAGGCTCAGTGGAGTGCGGAAAACCAGACAGATGGTCTTGTTAAAGGAACCAGCTGCATGAGGGAGCAGGACTCCACTCCGGAGTCGGGAGCCCAGTGCCGGCTCCTTCCCAACTGTGTGCTGTTTTGGTCCTGGATCCTGCCTGCCTAACCTGCCCTTACCTGCTCTCACCTGCCTAAGGTGGCCACTGGGTGTGGACAGGCGAGCCAGGAGATACTGTGTGTACAAATGCTAGGACCAATGGCTCAGAAGTACTGGCCACAGCACTGGCCCCTGACCAGATATCCTATCCCAGGAATCCCCCCTCCCCTCCAAATTGCTGACAACACTATCTGTCAGGCCCCTGCTGTGTGCCAAACACTGGACTGGACGTTCTAGGTGCCTCAGCTCTATGTTGCGTTCGCTGTTCCTCTACTTGGACCCCCACACAGCTGACTCTGCCTCAGCTGACACCTTGGAGAAGCCCTCCCTGACCACCCCAACTGAACGGCCTCATCACATACTAGTCCAGGGTACCATTTAGGTTTTGCCATAGCTTTGTCATTATCTAAAACCATCCCATTCATTTACTCATTGGCTTTGTCCCCCCGCTAACATGTAAGATCCTCAAGGACAGGGCTGCATCTTTTTGATTCATGACTGTATCCCAGCTCCTGATCAGTGCCTGGCACGTAATAGGTGCTCAATTAATGCACACGGACTGAAGGTTCACAACTCAGGTTGGGGGGGCGGGGGGGCCACCCAATCCTTCCTCTGCTTATCGTTGCTTGATTTCCCTCCTTAGCACTTACCACTGACTAACATACCATGCATTGGCCTTCCTCATGGACTATCACCCTTACTAGAATAGAAGCTTTATGCGAGATGCAATTTTTGTCTGTATCCCCCATGCTTTGTTGGTTAAATGAAAGGTCTCCAGGGTAAACACCATCACCATGCCCATTATACAGAGGAAGCTAGGGGTGGGAAGAAGTGCTGTGCCCACAGTCTCATAGAAGATGAGGGCACAGCACAGCAGAATCCTGCTCTGTAGGACAAGGACCTCACTTCTCGGGTGCTTCCTCCTGGCTGCTGAAGTCACCAAGCAAGCCACATCCCCATCTAGAGTTATACACACGTGCTCATCTTGTGTGATGGGCTGAATAACGGCCCCTAAACATATCCAAAGTCAAAAAAACATTCCAAGATCTATCCTGAAGTACAACGCTGTCAGTGATAGGATAATATCCATAAAGTCTACAAGGAAGACCTATTAATATGACTGTTATTCCAATTTATGCACCAGCTGCTAATGCCAAAGATGAGGAAATTGAAGATTTTTACCAACTTCTGCAGTCTGAAATCGATCAAACATGCAATCAAGAGATATTGATAATTACTGGTGACTGGAATGTGAAAGTTGGAAACAAAGAAGAAAGTTGGAAAATATGGCCTTGGTGATAGAAATGATGCTGGACATTGCATGATAGAATTTTTCAAGACCAATGACTTATTCATTGAAAATACCTTTTTTCAACAACATAAAAGTCACTATACACGTGGACCTCACTGGATGGAAAACACAAGAATCAAATCAACTACATCTGTGGAAAAAGACTATGGAAAAGCTCAGTATCATTAGTCAGAACAAGGCCAGGGGCCGACTGCAGAACAGATCATCAATTGCCATATGCAAGTTTAAGCTGAAGCTGAAGAAAATTTTTTAAAAGTCCACAAGAACCAAAATACAACCTTGAGCATATCCCACCTGAATTTAGAGACCATCTCAAGAATAGATTTGACACATTGAACACTAATGATTGAAGGACAGACGAGTTGTGGTATGACATCAAGGACATCATACATGAAGAAAGCAAAAGGTCATTTAAAAGACAGAAAAGAAAGAAAAGACCAAAATGGATGCCAGAAGAGACTCTGAAATTCGCTCTTGAACGTTGAGTAGCTAAAGCGAAAGGAAGAAGTGATGAAGTAAAAGAGCTGAACAGAAAATCTCAAAGGATGGCTTGAGAAGACAAAGTAAAGTATTATTATGAAATGTGCAAAGACCTGGAGTTAGAAAACCAAAAGGGAAGAACATACTTAGCATTTCTCAAGTTGAAAGAACTGAAGAAAAAATTCAAGCCTCGAGTAGCAATTTTGAAGGATTCTATGGGCAAAATATTGAACAATGCCGGAAGCATCAAAAGAAGATGGAAGGAATATACAGAGTCACCTTACCAAAAAGAATTGGCCGACATTCAGTCATTTCAGGAGGTAGCATACGATCAAGAACCGATGGTATTTAAAGGGCAAGTCCAAGCTGCACTGAAGGCACTGGTGAAAAACAAGGCTCCAAGAATTGATGGAATACCAGTTGAGATGTTCCAGCAAATGGATGCAACACTGGAAGCACTCACTCATCTATGCCAAGAAATTTGGAAGACAGCTACCTGGGCAGCTGAGTGGGAGAGATCCATATTTGTGCCCATTCCAAAGAAAGGTGATCCAACAGAATGTGGAAAGTATTGAATAATGTCATTATGATCACATGCAAGACAAATTTTGCTGAAGATCATTCAAAAGTGGTTGCAGCAGTATATTGACAGGGAACTGCTAGAAATTCAAGCTGGATTCAAAAGAGGATGTGGAAAGAGGGATATCATTGCTGATGTCAGATGGATCTTGACAGAAAGCAAAGAATACCAGAAAGATGTTTACCTGTGTTTTATTGACTCTGCAAAGGCATTTGACACTGTGAATCATAACAAATTATGCATAACATTTCAAAGAATGAGAATTCCAGAACACTTAACTGTGCTCATAAGGAACCTGTACATAGACGAGGAGGCAGTCGTTTGAACAGAAAAAGGGGATACTGAGTGGTTTAAAGTCAGGAAAGGTGTGAATCAGAGTTGTATCCTTTCGCCATACTTAGTCAATCTGTATGCTTAGCAAATAATCTGAGAAGTTGGACTATATGAAGAAGAACGTGGCATCAGGATTGGTGGAAGATTCATTAACAACCTGCAATATGCAGATGACACAACCTTGCTTGCTGAAAGCAAAAAGAACTTGAAGAATTTACTGAGGAAGATCAAAGACTACAGCTTTGAGTATGGATTATACCTCAACAAAAAGAAAACAAAAATCCTCACGACTGAACCAAGAAACAACATCATGATAAATGGAGAAAAGATTGAAGTTGTTAAGGATTTCATTTTCTTGGATCCACAATCAATGCTCATGGAAGAAGCAGTCAATAAACCAAATGATGTATTGCATTGGGAAAATTTGCTCCAAAGACCTCTTTAAGGTGTTGAAAAGCAAAGATGTCACTTTAAGGACTAAGGCGCACCTGACCCAAGCCATGGTATTTTCAATCCTTCATTTGCATGTAAAAGCTGGACAATGAATAAGGAAGACCGAAGAATTGATGCCTTTGAATTATGGTGTTGGTGAAGAATATTGAATATACCATGCACTACCAGAAGAATGAATGAGTCTGTCTTGGAAGAAGTACAGCCAGAGTGCTCCTTGGAAGCGAGTAACGCAAGACTTCATCTTATATACTTTGAACATGTTATTAGGAGAGACCCGTCCTTGGAGAAGGACATCATGTTTGGTAAGGTAGAGGGTCAGTGAAAAAGAGGAAGATCCTCGACAAGATGGATTGACACAGTGGCTGCAAGAGTAGGCTCAAACATAGCAATGATTGGGAGGATGGCACAGGACCAGGCAGCGTTTCATTGTGCTGTACACAGGGTCACTATGAGTTGGAACCGACTTGGCGGCACCTAACAACAACAAAGAAGTCCATGTCCTATTCCATGAAACCTGTGGATGTTACCTTATATGGCAAAAGGGGCTTTGCAGATGTGATTAAGGATCTTGAGATGGGGAGATTATTTTGGATTATATGGATGGGCCCTAAATGTGACCCCAAGCTTCCTTATAAGAAGAAGGCAGAGAGAGATTTGACTGTAGAAGTAGGAGAGCTGATGACGAAAGCAAGAGGTGGGAGTGATACAAGGGAGGGGTCATGAGCCAAGGAATGGCAGGCGACTTCCAGAAGCTGGAAAAGGCAAGGAAAAGGATTCTCCCCTGGAGCCTCCAAAAAGAACCATCCTTTCTTGACACCTTGACTTTAGCCCAGTAAAACTGATTTCAGACTTCCAGCCTCCAGAACTGCAAGAGAATAAATTTGTGTTGTTTTAAGCCCAGTGTGTAGGAGTAGGAAATAACAGACAATGAAACCCATTGCCATCGAGTCACCTCCAACTCATGGCCACCCCATGTGTGTCCGAGTAGAACTGTACTCCAGAGGGTTTTCAATGGCTAGTTTTTCAGAAGTAGATCACCAGGCCTTTCTTCTGAGATGCCTCTGGGTGGACTTGAACCTCCAACCCTTCGGTTAGCAGTCAAGCGTGTTAACCGTTTAAACCACCTAGGGATTCCATAATACTCAATGGGCAACAAGAAACTAATATAGCCAGTCTGCTCCTGACCAGACCTAGAAAAACTCAGCCTGTGTGTATCTCAGGAAGTCTGATCCTGGTCCC